AGGGGTTTAGGGTTTGGGGGGTTTGGCGGTTTAGGGTTTAGGGGTTTAGGGTCAAACAAGTGGGAGGTCGGTCTTGCGAACTGCAGGTTCCATGTCAGAGCTTGGGGGCCTAGGGTTTAATGAAGTTCCTAAACCCAAGGAAGGTATTACCTCGGGTTCTAGGGTTTAGGGTTCTAGGGCTGAGGGTTTAGGGTTTCATGAAGTTCTCAAACCCAAGGAGGGGGTCATTTAGGGCTTGGGGTTTAGGGTTTAAGGTCGGTGCAGGAGTTAGAAGTGAATTCAGGGCATGCCCTAAACCCTAAACCCCAAACCCAAAATCCTAAACCCTAAACCCAAAAACCCTAAACCCTCAAGAGGGGGCTTTACCGGACCCGAGGCTCGGGCATGGATGTCACCCAAGTGATCCGAAACGAAGAGCTTTCGTCCACGGTCATCGAAGCCTCATGGCCAGAGTTTCGAAAACGCTCGTGGCTTCAAAGGGTTTTGTGTGTTGTTTTTGTTTTTTATGGGTTTAGGGTTTAGGGTTTTTTTGTTGGGGGGGGCGGGGGGCGGTTAGGGTTTAGGGTTTAGGGCGTCATTACTGGCTTCAAGCTTCCCGTGCAAGGCATCAAGTCAAGATTCAAGACCCAAAGCGGGCTGAGTTTCGAGGCAAACAGCTTAACAGCATGGCTTACACTCATTATCATCCATTCTGCTGCGTCTGAATACAAAGATTGGATCTACTCCATAACATGCACCCACACAGAGGGCCATTTCGTATATGTCTCAGCAGCCATGCGAGCAAAACTAGAAACGTTCGACCTCGTTGACTATCTCGACTGAAGATGCACACGAGAGGAACCGAGCTTTGCTCGTTGCACCGGCTGTTGACAAGGTGTCCTCTTGTACAGTACACTTTAGGTTTGTTGTTTTTGTTGCTGCTCAGTGCTGCATTTTTTGTCTTGTGAGTGTGTGATTGTGCGTCTGTGTGTATGCTGGGGGGAGAGGGGGTGCCATGGGGCGGAGGGTTAGGCTTTGGGGCTCGGATTATGGGATACGAGAACGTATCAGGTAAAGAGTGCTAGCGGCAGAAATTGCATTCTGTCTGCTCCTGGGCATTCAGCTGCATCACAAAGAAAAAGGTCAAGATGCATTGAACTGCACACACGTAGACACCCTAGACATTGCCTATAGTCTTCATTGTAGTTCCATTTTGGGGTCACCTTTTAGGATCCTTAACCTGGTTTAAACCAAAAATGGAACTACAATGGAGACCATAGGTGAGTTTCATTGAACTGATGTTTGTAGCCCGAAGATTAACTTGGGCCAGACCAGCTTGGCGACTACTTGGGAAGACTCGCATGCAAAGGGATGCAACACAAAACCAGCACGTCTCCCAGCCCTCCGAAATGGTAGGCAGGAGCAGACAACTGCCCCAGCACGAAAAGTTTCCCTCAGCCCTAGTACTCCAAACCCGAAATAGCAACCTTTGGCCGGCATCAGTACCCCAGGTGGGCGCCCAGCAGAAATCGGTAATCTCTGCATCTTTGTGCGGTATCACCACCTGATATGAAGTGCGCTACTTGTACCTGAGTCTTGCGGGTTTAGAGTTCAGAGTTTAAGGCAGTTTAAGATGTCAAATAGCCCAAACTCCGTAAGCAGCTTGTTTCACATATGGGGGTTTCCGAAAATAGGGGACCCTAATACAATATAGTACCCCAAATAGTAGGATCCTTATTATAAGGACCCCAAAACAAGGTACCCCAATCTTCGGAAACTCCCACATATCTCCTGCTCTGCTGGGCCTGGATGGCGCCCGTCACAGCCTGAGGCAGCATAGTCTTGGGGTTCTCGCATAACCCTGGGGCTCCAAATAGCCCAAAGTAGGCACTATTTATAGACTTTAGAGCCCAAAGTAGGTACTATTTGTATACTTGGGGCCCTAGGGAGATTGTAAACTTCTTGGGGAGGACACATTGGTCTTCTAGGCTACATAGAGTGAGCGGTAATTTTGAGCTCACGTCAAGCAGGAGTCGGTGACTACATCTCTCGCATCTGTATCGCGGTGTCTGTCGTGACTCGCGGCCGTCGATGCAACTGTGGGTGTGATTCGCCTTCTTCGGTCATGATGTGTCGCACCACATCGCTTCGTTTCTGCTGCATACTAATTCAGAGCAGCTTTATGGAGTTCGTCCCATGATTCCTGTGGCCGGAGTTCTTGCATTCCAGAACATGGGGCCTGAGACTGCAGGTCGTATCGCGCAATTTGGGGTTTAGAGCGGAAAGTTTCTTGATAATTAAGAATTTCTACTACTTGGAGGTTTATGGGTAGTTATAAGTGGAGTTATAAGTCCCCTAATATAGGGTTATAACTATAGTTACCCTACTTATAACTACCGGTGAACCTCCAAGTAACCCCTCAACCCTAACATTTGGGCAAGCTTGGGGTCGGTTTAGGTTCCAGGGCCGTGAGGTTTATTTGCACGGCACTTCGAGCGACATGATAACACCCAAAGGCTCCATGTACCTCTATAGTAGATACTTAGGCCTTAAGGGATCCCTATATAGGTACTTTAAGTCCTAAGTATCTACTATAAGGGTACATGGAGCCTTTGGGACAAGAGAGAGTCAAGACACTACACGCTGCAAACTCATTCTAGACCGCCTTGCCAGATGACTTTTGTACGCTATCACCCAAAACCCTATGCTATTTCCTTAGACCCCTGTACCCGATTAAACTATGCTATACACAGACCCTTAGCCCTGAATGCAAGCCCCCCCGGCCCTCCAAGCAAATCTTCGCCAGCCCCGAGGCGAGCTGGGGGTTTCCAAGAATAGGGAACCCTAAGATAGCACCCTAAATTTTAAATTACAGGATCCTTACGATAAGGACCCCCTTCAACCTAAAATCCTAGATAGTACCCTAAATAGGGTCCTTATGATAAGGACCCCATACTACCCTAAACCCTAAACCCTATATACCCATCCGAAGACTTTTTCTGGGCTGAAGGCATCCCAGATCTTCACGACGCTGATGGTGCCCGAAACGAAGACCTTAGGAGATCCACGGCTGGGGTTGAAGAACCCACTTTTCTGCAGGGCCCGTACAAGTTCCATGTTATGGTTTAGGGTTTAGGGTTTAGGGTATGGAGTCTAGTATAGGAACCCGTAAATCGAAAAAAAAGGCTTTGATAGGTTTAAAAAGCAGGGTTAAGGAGTCTCTTGAAACGAGCACAGGATAACTACTCCCTAAGCCCTAAACCCTTATTCCTGTTTCAGGGGGGACTGAGCACCCAAGGAGTCTATACACTGTCGCTGCGAGGAGTTGTGGAGCTGACGTGCTACATTCCATCAAGCTACAGGTTTTACAGGGGTTCCTGTAACCGAAAGGACCTACCTCTGTAAGGACTTTCACAAAGAAATAGTCATAATAATAAGGAGCCCGAAAAAGGAAGGTTTTATAGGGTCGAGGTTTGGGCTAAGGCCTTCAGGTCTTCAGGTCTGGGCTTTACAGGGTTGAGGGTTTGGGAGTTTAGGATTCAGACGTTTAGGGGTGGCAGCGCAGGGCTTCCGCGTTTAGGGCCGATGGGGTTACAGACTTCTGCGTTTCAGGGAGGTAGGGGGGATGCATACTCTAACAGCAAACTCCAATCCGACTTTGCCTCTAGGTGCTTCTCTAAATTAGGGTCCCTTTTATGGGGTCCTTTTTATAAGGGTGCCATATTGTTTTGGGGAACCGAAAAAGGGAGCCTACTTCAGAGAGCTACCCATACCGGAGCTCATCTTCTAAGTTTGGGAGCGAGTTTTGTAGGTATTAGGGTTTAGGGTTTAGGGTTTAAGGGTTTAGGGTTTAGGGTTTAGGGTTTAGGGTTTAGGGTTTAGGGTTTAGGGTGCTGTCCAACCCTTTCCTGCTTCACGCTGTTAGTCCCTTGATGCCGACGTCTTATAGTAAACCCCAAGAAGTTGGAAGCCGGATTAAGGACAACTTAGTGCTGGGATTCCGTAAACATTACTCTTAAGGATTGAGGGTATTGGGTTTCCAACTTTTGGGCTTCTACTATAAGTCTACATAAATGCAACCGCCCCCTGAAAGACAAGAACAAAGAGCTTACCATGTGGGGATTTCCGAAAATAGGGGACCCTAATATAATAACCTAGATAATCGGATCCTTATTATAAGGACCCCAAAATAAGGTGCCTCTAATATTCGGAAACTCCCATGTAGCAGGCAGGTAACCTTGAGACGCTCGTTGTAGAAGACCTGGAGCAGAGGGTGCTAGCATGGCCAGTCGAACGGCTTAGGGGCTACCCATGGGCCCTAAAGTAGTTCCTTTGTGGGGCTCATATAGGTAGTTGTCAAAATTAGGGTCCCTTTGGGGTACCCTAAATAATAAGTGCCGGATTATTAATAAGGACCCAAAAAGGGACCATAATTTTGACAACCACCCATATATAGAATCCTAGAAGGTAATCCCCAAGTGGAACTACTATGGGGTCTGTGGGTATGTGTGCTTCAGCACACAGGTTGCGTGAGCACAAGCTCCTTCAAATTCGTCGCTTGATTGGCGCCCACTCCAAAGACCCTGCCTTGATGCGCAAAGGGCGAAACCCGACAAACCAGCGACCTAAACAACCTCATACGAGACTTCAACATAATCAGCTGCCTAAACCCTAAACCCCTAAACCCTAATTAGCTTCAAGGTCACTCATTTCGAAGTTCGAGAAGGAAATCTGACACGGCGACACTTCGGCTGCCCGAGGCCCGAGCTGTAGGACAGCTATTGGTGGGGTCTACCCATA